CCCTTTGTCCTTTTAAAAGTTCATCTCAGAACAAAGGAACTACTGTGTCCCTCTTTGCTTTTTGTCCAGTTACTTTATGTCCCAGATCACTGTGGTTTATACTGTGCAGCTACTATTGCTTTATGGCTCTTCCTAAGCCCTGGGGTGGGGGGTGGTTCTGTCCTTCCTCTTGCCCAGCTGAGCTTTATCTCCTGTCAGGAAGCAGTCTGCCCCCCCCCCCCCCCCCATCGCACCCTGAATGTATACTTACAGGAAAACCATTAAATATTGATTGTGGCTCCATGGAATTGCTAGCAGGACACAGAGACTCCAGGGTCCCTTTGCCCTCTGGGATCTGGGGGGGGGGGGGACCAAACTGCTTCCTGACAGGAGATAAAGCTCAGCTGGGCAAGAGGAAGGACAGAACCACCCCCCACCCCAGGGCTTAGGAAGAGCCATAAAGCAATAGTAGCTGCACAGTATAAACCACAGTGATCTGGGACATAAAGTAACTGGACAAAAAGCAAAGAGGGACACAGTAGTTCCTTTGTTCTGAGATGAACTTTTAAAAGGACAAAGGGCAGCTCTAACTGGCATATGATTGTATGAACGACAATATCAGAAATGACTCTAGAGTGGATGCAGCCAAAATATGTCAAAATACATCCCAACAATGGATTCTTCACCATAAAAGGCCCAGGGCTGTTTTCAAGCATCTGGATATCAGGTTTTGAGATGCTGCATCCCCCCCCCCATGGATTATTTGGGGTTGGTTGAGCCTCTCCAGGAGTCCACAGTTGCCAGGCTGATGCTGTTAGGGTGGAATCCCCAGGAGCGATTAGTGGAGCGCCTTACCTGTCCTCCTGTCACTCTCCAGCCCCGATCTGCCCTCACTGTCACCAGCTCTTCCTTCTCCCCGCCGTCTTCACCAACGGCCCAACACCTTGATGCTGTAGGTGGAAGCTCAAAGCTCAGCCCGACAGCGAAGGCTGCGATTAAGGTGGCTAATGATCTGTTGAGCAAATAGAGGATTATTTTCAGCGTAATTGGGGCTATTAGTACCGCGAACGGCTTAGTGCCCGCCTTGGCCGAGCAGCCCGTCCAGGTTGACAGATGTCCAGATAAATAAATAAACAGACGGATAAATAACTCACAGCGTTTCTGCACTCCCTGCCTCGGAGGCGCACATAAAAGAGGC